CAATTCTATGGCGACAATGTTGGTGACACAGTGCTATTTGGAGACAACAAACCAACGTCAGCAAAGCCTAAGTTTGGGTCATACTGGATTAAAGATGGGAAAGTTGTGGGGGCGTTTCTGGAGGGTGGAACTCCTGAAGAAAACAGTGCTATTGCTAAAGTTGCTAGGGCCCAGCCTCCGGTTGCGGATATAGACCAGCTTGCTAAGGAAGGCCTTTCCTTTGCTAGTAAAATATAATTGGTGTGTTAGGAAGGAAACGATGCTTGGTGATTTGCATAGATTGTATTTGAACTAGCTTCGGTTTACCTTTGATCATGTATTTCAGGAACTTTTTTCTTGAGTTTTTTTGTTTGAAATGTGATTGCCAGGGATATGTTTTACCGTATCTCTATTTCTTTTCTCTTGCAACTTTCTGGCTCTGCATACGCTTTCCACACTCGAGAAGCAGCAGCTATTTGAAGTGCAAGCCACAAAGCAAAACAAAAACGTAGAAATAAGATTTGGACAATGATATTTTAACAAATTTTTTTAAAATTTTTTTGACAACATACTATCAAATCAATCACAAGCTATCACATAGATTGTAAAAAAGTTATCAAAAAAAAATTGTTAAAAAAGACTTTTTCCATAAGATTTACATGAATTGCTGGATTTTATGCTTAGCCCAAGATTCGAAAATATTTGCATGTAAAACTGATTTCATGAACGATTGGTGTCTAGTTGTCTCACTTTCATTCATTCTCATGGGAGGAGTATTTGTCATATTCCTACTCAATAAGGATATTTTGGGTGACAAAATTCTCCCCCTTCAATTTTGTGTCACCAATCACCATTGTATAGAATTGTGATGTATGTAGCCGAAGACATTTGGTTGTTAACTACAGTATTAAATTAAGTTACTTAAGAAGATGACATGATATAGTTCATTAGGTTCTTAATATCATATACTCTCTAATTGACATGAGGATAGTTGGATACTTTATGAAGTATGGATCATCTAATCCAACACTAAATATCGGATATTATGTTTTTTATATCAAGATTTACATCTATTTTCTGATAACAATGTTGTTTATTAAGTCAAGATATCATTTGCTAGTATTTTCTTGTGATTGTTAGGGACATTCGTGCATTGAAAGATTTAACCAAAATCAGGTGTAATTTTTCATAAGTAAGTTGGTCATTGAGTTTCTGAGCCAATAGGCCTTTGACTGTGGCCTATTCAGATGGAACCATGGTCAATAAGGTATGTCTATAAATATTATTTTAATTGTAGGTTGATTTTACTTTTTGTATTAATTTAATTTTGATTAAAATTTCTGACAAAGTACCAATTTAAGCGTCATTCAGTAGTAATGGAGAAGTTTAACAGAATAGTAGTGAAGAGTTCATAAAGTGAAAGAACACTTTGAAAAGTATGTTTAATTATGGAAGAATGAAATTCACTTACCATCTTTTAATTGTCACGAGATTATAATGGTTTGACCAATTTCAAACATAAGTATCTTTTGATCCAGCACGACACCAACATAATTAGCACAAATATTTTTTTTCTCGAGCAATTAATAATTAAGTATTGAATGTTAATGTATTAATGCTCCATTCAAACTATAAAATTATAAATATTTAGTTGTTCGCTACAAATAAAGAGATAAAAATAAAGGATGTTACAAATTAAAGTAAAAAATATTAGAGTTTTGTTTCATAAATTCACCCACTCCCTTAAATTGCCTAAAAATAATCTTTGATAAATTTTCAATAATATAATAAATTCATTAAATAATTTAAATTTTAATTCTTTATACAAATAAATCTAAATTAATTTTCTATAATTTCATTTTTACACATTAGAACCACTCAATCAAGAAGTTTATAAGATAACTAATTGAAATATATCTATTCCGAACACCAATTTCAATTAGGTTTTCTTCGCAACCACATATGTTTAGAATTACTTTTCAATGTGAATCTAATATCAATTAATAAGTTAAGGGATCAAACTAATATAAATCTTGAGTATAAAAACACAATATAATTTAAATAATTTTTTATAAATTCAAAATAAGTATTTAAATGAGTTTAAGTTTCTTTACATCCAATTCTTATTCAGAGTGAACTTAGTCACTTATATTCTCATTATAGAAAAATTTATAATACGTGAAAGTAGTAAGAATTATATATTTATTTTTTTCTAGCAAAAGTTATGTAGATTTTCCTTGGGTTTTTATTTGGAAGGATACTAAAATGTTCAAATAAAATATACTTAACAGATTTTTATCTTTTTAGCTCTTTGCTTAAGCAACCATCATGACTCAATTAATTAAAAATTATTCATTATATCTTGTCGCTAGATTGTGCTCGTTTAAGCGAGAAAATACATGTTTTGGGAAAATCTTCGGTGATATTTTAATTAAATGTTATTTCTTGACCAAATTTTAATTATTTTATTTCACTCTCAGTGAATCATTGATATTGCTTCATTTAATAACAAAGATAAAAAATCTAAAATATATATTTTTTAAAATAATAAAAGTCCCAAAGCTTAATATATGTTCAATAATTATTGTTAAAAACACACTTTTTAAAAATACAATTATTAAACACCTACAACTTAGAATTTCTCTTGCCTAATAAAGGAAGGAAACTATTATAAAAGAAAGTAAGAAAAAACATTTATCAAAAACCTTGAATGAGAATTTATTAACAAATATGACTATCATGTTATAAAAATAAACATTACTTTTCATAAGTCTATCATCAAAAATGTATCATATAAGTACTTCTTTCTTAATTACATTGAATACCTGTAAATAAATTTAAATTCTAATGTTATCCTATTCTTAATGTGTGTGACATTTGCTTTTTCATTAAGCTTAAATGTAGTATTTTTGGATTATATATATATATATATATATATATATATATATATATATATAATAAATGATTAAATGTGATATCATCATTATATTTTATTAATCAACTTTATAAAGTGATCTAATTAAATAAATATGACTAAGTATTATGTAGAGACCAACAATAATTTTAATTTGTTGAAGGAATCAAATTATAATTATTGAAACTAAAGAAAAGTAATCATCAGAGATTACATAACGGATCTTGGTTTCCATATGTTAGTACACGTATCATTCTAGTTTCTTTCTTTTTATCTCCATCAAAAGAGAAAGTACAGAGAGAAGAATCTAAGGTGCTCTGCAGAGAGATGAGAGACCAATTGAGATTGCTTATTAATTGTTCTCAATACGTAATCATTCATATACGCTTCCACTTTACTATTTTAAGAGATATTGAAAACTGTTCTTTTAAGAAGTATTGGAAACCCTTCAATTATAATAGTTTATTGCTCTTAAATTATTGATATGTACTTCATAAATTCTAAGTTATAAAAAATATTTAGTTCAAATAAATAACAAAGAATAATTCATATTATAGTAAAAGATGATGTCAAGTTTATAACATTTTTATACTTGAATAATGTGAATTAGAAAACATGTTTTGTTATGCAACTTCTTATATTGATCCTTTAACCTATAAGCTCATCAAGTATTTCTTGTTATATATCAACTTCTTGAATGTACTTATTCCTTCCTTGATAAATATGTTTCCAACTCTCATGGTAGCAATTGTTGGCTTTGTCACAAAATAGTGTTATAAAATATAGTCATTCTAGTGTAAAAAAAAAACGTTTTTAAAATTGCCTAATAATATGTTTAGTTTTTTAAAAAATACAAAGTTTTTAAAAACATAATAATATTTTAAATTTTTTTTATACAATTATAAACTTCAATTCTAAAATAATCAAAACTTATACTAGTATGTTATATTTAAATAATAAAAACGTATATTGATATAATTTTGATTATTTAAAGAATTAAAACCTATATCTTTCTAAATAATTTAAAATTATTATTTGTCATACGTTTTAAAATATTTAAACAACTAAAGATTTAAGACATAGACAACTCATATCTTTATTATTATTATTAAATTTTTAATAATATTATTTTATATTTACAAAGAATCAATAAATTGACTTAACAGAAATATATTGTAATATATTATCTATTTCATTATATAAAGATAATACATTCAATAATTTCCTTTAGTGTCGACTTTAATAATGTTATCACTATATATATATTTTAAAAAATAATTGAATTGAAAATAAGTGAATATTTTTTTTAAATAAACCATTACATATTTCTTCAACATTATTATTATAAAATTCTATATATTTCGTAATTGTATCATTTTAACATTATTGTTGCAAGATTATATATACTTTGAAAATTTTATTATTTTAATCTAAAAAATAATTGTGAATTCATGTATTTTCATCAATTATTATTATTATATCATTTTAGATATAAAATAAATTATACTCTGATAGATAAAGTGTATGAATTTATAGCAAAGTTCGTTGTACGACAGGAGGAAAAAAAGAGTAATATTTGAGAGATAACAATGAAATTATCAAATTTGAAAAGATAAAAATATATTCAAATTAAAAAAATAAAGTTAAAACAGGCAAAAATAAAATACGTATTTAAATTTAAGATAAATGGCTAAATAAGTTTTTAACATCTTTTAAAACTCCTTGTTTGCATTTAAATTGATACTAATATATATGATCATCTCAGTTAAATTCTTTAATTCAAAAGTAATAAAACATGAAGATAAAATAATATATTTATTGAGTAGGTATAATATTTGTTTTGTTTTAGTACTTAATAAATCATAAAATCATGAAATTCTGATTTAAGTTTATAATTTTTTATTCGTATCTTATTTATATTATATTTTAACGTTAGTTTTTAAATTGATTCCTATAATATTTTTTAACGTTAGGTATAATATTTTCTTTTGTTTCTTAACTTCCTATGATCATGTTTAGGTAATACAGATAACAGAAAAAATTTAACATAAATCATAACAGTGTATGACTATGCATTTCAATTAACACAACATATTAATAGAAATGACACATCAAATGTAAGAGAGTGAACGCAGCCGTTTTTGTTTCATCTTCACCGGCGACGACAACTACACAATCATCTTCACCGGCGACGACAACGGCACAATCATCTTCACCGCTCACAACGATTCAGGTACTCCAATCTTCATAGCAGTTTCTATTTTCATTTGGGGTTTTGTTTTGCGAGAGTTGTTTGTGTTTGCGATTGTTCTTATTCTCGTGATGGTTCCTGATTCAAGACTGTTCTTTTGTGTTTCAATATAGTTATATTCCCATCCCCCGTAATCCCCTTCCCTGTTTCAATTTAGTTTCTGTTCTGTTCTCTTCGTTTGAAGTGATGGTACGCAAGTGACTGTGTATTTGTGGCCTGCAACAAATCTCTCATTTCACTGAATGAATTATATCATTCCCAACACCTGTAGGGATTTAGAAAAATGGTATTTTAGAACTGAATGGGATGTTACAACACCTGGCTAAATAAAATTTCTTATAATCTTCTATTCACTAGGCTACACCTCTCGGAATATAGAGGCATAATTAGTGTTAAATTTATTCTGAAAAACCTGAAATACCGCATGGCCAAATTATTATTCAAATTGACTTCCTAGATAAAGGGTCAGGTAATTGTGTTGCATTCTAATCTAACTTAGTTTTTTTTTTTTTTTTTTCTGCAGAAGCTCTTGACAAAGGAGAGACATCACACTTAATTTCATTCTATTTTTCTTTGGTTTGATCAGTACAGTTAAACAATGAAGTTTGATAGAACAGATGCTCTGTCAATTTTGTCACAAATTAAGCGTCAGGATAAACAGATTAAACTTAAGAGTAGGTAAGATACTCATTCTAGTATCGAGACCTTGTTTTTTTTTTTGTTTTTTTCTTGTGTTATATTTTAATTATATCAATCTGAAATTGGTGCAGATGGTTACTCGGCATTCCTCCCACAAGATATGAGAGGAAGAAGTTGAAAAAATATTTCAAAAATAGGTTAGTGCGTCATTTGTTCAATGATTTTAGTCCTAGGTTTTCACTCTAATGACATTTTATTTTTCCTTTTGATCAATAGGTATTTATCTGAGTCCTTGATCAGAGAAGACGATGTAAGTATTACTATTTCTTTATATTTATTGTAACTATGGTTAGTTGCATTACTATTTGAATGATAAATTGACAATCTAGTAATTGTCAGATGTTTTATGAGTCAGTAAAAACTCATCTCGAAGATGCCGATGGAGAACACTGCTTTGAACAAGAGAACGATATTCCTAAGGGGGATATGGATTTGATTCAAACAATGAACATGAAAAGGTTGATATCACCGTTGCTTGATAATTTGACTACCAAGGGTCTCTATCTTCTCGCTATGCTAGTTACTGGTGGTTCGTTTAAGTCTGAAATAACACGTTGCAAAATGAAAAGGGTTATCAAGGATTCTCTTTCGAGTGTTCTGGGCAGCAAAAGCCGCCATAACCATCTGGATACTTGTAAACAAATCTTTTCACTTCTCAACAATCCACAAAATTTTCGAGACAGGTGTGAGCCTTTGGGTGCATTGAGATCCCTCTCTTATCATGCTGCGGCAGAAAAGGTATTGCACAGGCTTCAAAACTTGCCATCTCAGACCTTGATTGCAATGCGTAGAAAACTTAAAGGAGTGAAAGCACCAGTACCGCAGTTACAACCCCACAAGCATGGATGGGCAAGAGACCATCTAATCAAGCTAGTGAAGAAGATCAGTATGGAAATGCTTTCAAAACTTGATAGAGAAAGTGAGTTGCCAGAGCCATTAGCCAAAGCTATGGCAGTAGCAGACTTATCACTAAAACTCACAACTGGTTCTCATAACATGTTTTCAAAAGAATTTTATCAATTCTCACCTGAGGTGAAGTCCTTGCAAAGTGATATTATTAAGGCTATATGGTCTGTTAAGAAAGTAACGACAGTGCCAGAGCTAAGCAATTTACAGCTTCTCATAGAACCAAAGGCTACAATATCAAACCGGTGCATCCGGACAACTTTTGTAAATTTTTTAACTGAATTTCTTTTTGAGTGCAGTGATATGGATAGTATTCCGAAGTCTCTATCACAGACCCTAGATGTTATTAACAGAGGTCCTAATAATGGTGGCTTTCACAATGTAATATTCAAAAAGAAGTATATTGAGGAAGAAGTTGACTGCATACTAAACATTAGTGCTTTGACAAAACAAATTGTTTTGGATTTGTTGCCTGATGATAAATTTGATAAAGACTTTACTGATGCTTACATGGAGCAATTAGAAGAAAGTGATGACAGTGACAGCAATGAGGATGTTTGTAGTCAACTTCAGGAGGACATACGATTCGGAAATGGATCATCATTTGATTCAATCGATACATGCAATGAAGCTGAAAGTATTGGAGATTTTGTGCCATTTGAGTTCCTTTCTTGTACCATCAAAATTGAGGAAAATGTTTCATCTTCCCCACTTACAGTTAGTGGTAGGTTGAATAGTGGTTCTGAACGACTTCAACCTAATAAATGTTGTAGTGTAAATTTGGAATCTGAATTTCACAATACTACACGTAACATGGTAACTGACCAATGCCAAGGAGAAAGCACAGAGCATTTTGATACATTTATGGCTGGCAAAAACAATAATTCATCATTTGTTTCACCTGACAGAGAGTTGGATGAAAAGGTTGTAAAGAGAAATCATTTGTTTGAATCTGTTACTAAAATAGCTGCAACGGACACAACTAATTTGTTTTCTGAGGAGAAAGAACCTGTGCCCACTAAGCACAGTGCATGCAAAAACCAATACCTTGCTATCCNGCTTACATGGAGCAATTAGAAGAAAGTGATGACAGTGACAGCGATGAGGATGGTGGTAGTCAACTTCAGGAGGACATACGATTCGGAAATGGATCATTTGATTCAATCGATACATGCAATGAAGCAGAAAGTATTGGAGATTTTGTGCCATTTGAGTTCCTTTCTTCTACCATCAAAATTGAGGAGAATGTTTCATCTTCCCCACTTACAGTTAGTGATAGGTTGAATAGTGGTTCTGAACGACTTCAACCTAATAAATGTTGTAGTGTAAATTTGGAATCCGAATTTCACAATACTACACATAACATGTTAACTGACCAATGCCAAGGAGAAAGCACAGAGCATTTTAGTAAATTTATGGCTGGCAAAAACAATAATTCTTCATTTGTTTCACCTGACAGAGAGTTGGATGAAAAGGTTGTAAAGAGAAATCATTTGTTTGAATCTGTTACTAAAATAGCTGCAACGGACACAACTAATTTGTATTCTGAAGAGAAAGAACCTGTGCCCACTAAGCACAGTGCATGCAAAAACCAATACCTTGCTATCCAAGATGCTTGTGATAAGACAAGTATGCTTGCATATAGTCTTGTAGGTCGTATGTTGCATGAGTTTGTCAAAACTGAAGGCCTAGATTTAAACATGAGCAAGAGTTTGTACCTCAACCGTAATAATCTCATTGAAGATGTTGAAGGTATTGAAAGTTTATGCTATCTTACCTATTATAACCAAAATATATATCATGCTATGTCTACCAATTTAAAGATGTTGTTTGATCATATTGCTACTGTACATTGTATTAAAAGTAAATTTCATTCTCTGACAAGATTTTGTCCTTTGTGAAACTTTAACAAAGTAAAACATGTCAGTATACCTTTCTTTATTTATTATTGAATGAAATGTCATTTGTGTCACCCACAGAAACTGTATCTTTTTCCTAGAACCATGTCTTTTTTTTTTTTTTCGATTTTCTTGCATGTTCTCAGTTCATCGTACATACTAATGGTAAAACTGTAATTTTTTGTAAAGCCTAAGATTGTTTCATTCATTGAATGCATAGTAGTTTAGCCACGTAATGTTTGCAAATAATATGTTGCATATCTTCATGGACTATTGCTGATTCCTTACCACAATATGTCTGATTTCAAATCCAACTGACTGCATGGCTGGATACTGAATTTGAGATGATGAAAATTGTTAGATGCTTTTTCTGTAAGCCAATGCAAGAGAGATGGAGCGATGAAAATTGGGGATCATCTTGCTTTGTATTCATAATGTTTGCCTTGTGCATAGGTTTTTGTGATAAACATCTAGTGCTTTGGCATACATCTATAAATTATGAATATAGACATTTGATAGGTTGAATCAAATACTCTGCTAGTATCATTGTGCAGTCTAAATTGATTAGCCTGTTCTATTACATGCAGATATAGAAGAGCAGTCATCATCTGGGAAACATGCAAGAGATTTTGTTCAAGTAATTGAAGAGTTGATTCCTTCCTTTCCAAATAGGTATTTGGTACATTCTTCAAATATGATTACATAACTTAATAGTGTTCTATTTTAACGTGCATGCTTCTTTTCCTAGATAATCCGTTTAGTTGAAAACTTGTTACTTGCTTTATTCATTGCATGGTGTGGATTACCACTCAGATTCAAGGCAGATATATTAGATGCTTACATAGGCATATAAATGCATATTAAAAATCCAAAATTATGTCTCTTTAACTACGAGTAACTCGTGCTTTGGACACTGCAGTAGCATGGAAAGACTGAAGATTTTGATGGGCTTACAATAACGGAACTCAGGGTTTCAGGTTCAAACATTTTCAAATAGGTTTGACCCAGTTGTGAGCTTGCTTGGTGTGAGCTTTGCCCTTCCCTCCAAGGAATTTTCTTGTCACAAATGGATTCTCTGCCGTAACAAAAAGAGCTCGCCACAGAGGAATCTTATAATTTTAAGCCTCCATCAATTCTTGCTACAACGGATGGATAGCCTCGTCATCGAGTTTATTGCATCGCTGTAGTTGTTGAGAAGAATGGAAGCACCTTGGTGTAAGTGTTGTATGCTTTATTTGAGTACTTTTTGGTGCGAAAATTCAACGAGCTGGGACGTGCTGGAATGTTTTAGTGTGCGGCATTTAAAGATAACATTACTTGCAATATGTCATTGTGAAACAGCCCTTATATAGTATTCAGTTTAATAAAATGACACTAAGGAATTTATTGGTAGAAGAATGATAGCCTGTAATTTGAATGTAAATTTCTGGAGAAAGATTGATAGTCTGTAATTTGAATGTAAATTTCTTTTACATTTTCTGTTTTACCATTTACCATTTTATTTCTACTCTGATTTTGAATCCGTATAAATCTGAATATGGAACAGTCTGACAACAAAAATAATTTCTTTCTATCCTTCTGTCAAATGTTCCTAAATCGAAACGTGTTGGAATTTGATCCAAATAATTTGAGGATACAAATTTCAAAAAGATATTTTCAAATTTATTAAAAAAGCTTATAATAAAAAGTTACAATAATTTTTCGAATAATGATTTTGCATCAAGTTTTCCCTTATCATATAAAATAAACTAAACTAAAAATTTCAACCTTTGGGGTATTGTAATTGTTCCAACTTTAATGTTTAATCCTTTTTAACATCTTTTTTTAATAATGTTAAATCACTATAAATTGTTAATTAAAAAAAAACATATAAAATGTTATTATAGTATCTAAACATAACTATAAGATCAAAAGATGTATTCTAAGAGTTCTATCATTCTGAAACTAAAAGTAATATACTAGAGCCTTACACAATATATATATATATATATATATATATATATATATATATATAAACTAAGCATCTATCACCACTGCATCTAATGAATGTAGAATTACCTTTTTCTAGTTCCAAAATAAAAATTCTCATTTTTCGATCCTGTTTAAAATAACTAAAAAAAAGAAATAATTTTTATTTTTATTTTTGTAGTTCTAAAAGTTTAAGTGAAAAATTCAAACTGTTTGTAAATATCGTAATAGAAAAAGTATTTTTGAAATTATTAGAAAAAGTATAATATCCTCACAAAAAAGAAAAAAAACTTTATCCTTCTTTTATTCAATAGAAACCAAAAAACTCGATGAATTGAGAAAACAAAACAGATTAACAATTTAGAAGAATAATTGAATAATTTCTTAAACAACTTTTTCAATTCAATCCATAAAGTTGAAAAAGTTGTTTATTAAGAAAAAAGTTAAACCATTTCTGCAGTTTTTTTGTTGGGTTTTTTCAAATAGGTCACTTTTTTATTTTTTTTCTTTCAGTTGAGTCTCTAAAAGTGAAAAATTGAAGCAATTGACTCCTTTAGTTAAATTGAGTTAATGGTGTTAATTTTCTCATCAACTGTCAGTTTGACATGAAATATTTTAATTACGTGGTCATTATGTTAGATTACGTGGCATATGCAGAGCATGTTACGTGAAATATATAATTAAAAAATATATTCTGTGATTTGTTGCCACAGGAGAGCTGTTTCTCACGCAGCACAGTAGCGCCATCATAACCGCCACCGACGTGCAACCAAACTCTGGCCACAACCACGCCATCCTTCGCAATGCGAACTCGCCGTCATCAGTACCGTTCAAGCTCAAAACGCGCAACCATGGCAGCCTTCTCCATCATCCTTCTTCACGCCATGAAACCTGCACACAGTAAAGCTTAGAAATCGCGAAACCCCCAAACGTTAATCGTGAGCGTCATTGCAACACTACTTAATCTCCATCAACGCAGAACCCTAAATCGTGTTTGAGCTCTCCAATTGCATCTGAATCGCAAACCCTAGTTGCGCAAAACCCAAAATCGTGAACTCCTTGTGCCGCCGCGAGATCATGGCGTGAGAGCTCCAACACCTTTGTTTCTTCCTCCTCAAGCAATTGTGAAAACCAACGCATCCTTCATCTCCGCAAGTCTCCTTAACAAATCCACCAACCTGCAAACCCAAAGACATCACAAAACACAGAAACAAAAACCTGTTGCGAGTTCAATTCTCTCACGCAAACAGAAACATGAGAAAACCCCATATCTCGAAGGAGAGGCCTTAGGAGACATTGGACTCCACTATAATATAGAACTCTATGAATCCAAGATTTGTTGTGTCTTTAATCTCGAACCCAATTTGATTTTGGTAAACCCTAATTTGGTGATGCTTACTTTCATATTTCAGAAAGTTTTTGGGTTTTATGAACCCTAATTTTGTGATGAACCTTGAGCATCAATCACTAGGGTTGAAGATGATGAAAGGTAAGGTTGAAGATGATGAAAGGTAAGGTTGAAGATGATGAACCCTAATTTGGGTTTCAATTCTCAGGAACTTTTTTTTTAATTATATATTTCACGTAACTTGCTTTGAATGTGCCACATCATTAAATTAATCCACTTCACACTGACACGCCACCTAAAAGTTAACCCGTTAACCCAATTTAAAGACCGGGTGTAAGACCTTGAAAATAGTTGTAATTAAGATGCTAGATTATTTTAGAAATATAGAAAAATTTTATGTATAAATGCTACAGTAAAATACATATAATACTACAGTGAAACATGTACAATGCTACAGTGAAATATGTACAGTGCTATAGTGAGAATACCTCGTGAATAATGTGTTGCTACAGTACTGCTACAGGAAAAATGTAGTACAAGCTACAATATTGTTATAGTGAAATGTAGTACAACTATAGTACTGCTACAGTGAAATGTAGTACAACTACAGTAACCCTAACTTCAACTAAAAATAAGGGTGAGGAAATGAAGTTTTTCACAAGGAGAGTGAAACTGAACAAGAGTTTCGTAGAAAATAAGGAGATTTTAGGGCTAGAATATGAGTTGTAGAGAAGGTAGAAAGAGCTCTTGAAGATGTGCTCTTCATCCAGGAAGAAAGAGAATTAGGTAAGAGGAGCTAACCTTTCTATGTTTTTATGTTAATAACTTAATATTGTTATATGACTATCCATGCCTTGAATTTTTGTGTATGTCTATGTGTTGGTTGTATAATTATTTATGTCTTGAATTTATGTGTTAGTATTGTTAAGGAAAAACTATGTCATTATTTTGAATCTGTAAATAAGAAATTTGTTAAAAACTAGTTGAGGAACACTTTGGCTAGGAAAGACTTGGTACTTAAGTTGTTCATTGGGACACACTTCTCTTCCCTGGAAGTCTACTCGACGAATTTTTAACTTAATTCTTATTGAACATATTATGTACTGCTAATTTATTTTGTAATATACTCAATTGATATGAAATCTGTGATGAATGCTTTTTATTATGTTGAATATGTGACCTATAAAAATGTTGGGATAAATACTCAATCAAATTGTGAAATTTAAATTTTTGATCATGTTTTCCATTTTCGAAGTTACCTTAGTGTTGATAGGCGGAGCAATGTGATCGCGGAACCCAATCCCTGTTATGTTGTTTTTGATGATGACAACACATTAATAGCAACAACACATGAATGTTGTCATGTCACAACAGAAAAATGTTTCTGTGTTGTGTTATACATATGTGGAATATGTACATGCTTACTATTAGTGCCGTCAAAATGGGTTGAAACCCGTGAACCAACCTTGCTCACCATGAGTTTGAGTCGGGTTGAGTTGGGAAAAAATGCAAAAAATTTGATGCGAGCCAATTTTGACCTGGCTCACTAAGAACCCGACTCACCAATCCACCTTTTTTTTTAATTAAATCAAATTAATTAAATTATTGAAATCAACTTAATTAAATTAATTATTCAAAACGCACAACATTTATTTAGCAATAAAGCCTTTCGTGTTGTTGTCTTTTCAAAAGTTCCCCTCTGCAAATAAAACCCTAAGATTATAGATTGATAATATTATAGATGGAGATAAAAAAAGAAGAAGCTTCAAGAGAGCATAATACTGTGGATTTATCCATTTAGGACTCCAATTTAATAGATGGATAATATTATAGATTGGATAATTCAAGAATATATAATTTGTTTTATCTTGTTTTTAAACCTATCTACAAGCATGACAGTTTTATCTTGTGCTATATATTTTTGTTAACGACTATATGTAGTTTCTTGGTCAAGCGATTGTGTATGTCTCATTAAACTAAATTGGCAAAATTTTATGCTTGATAACTTAGAATATATATAACAATATATTTCTTTTGTTTCATTTTCTTTTATATCAATTGGTCCAATTATTACGGTTTCAATTTGATCGATCAAAGTAACATGTTATAAGAATCTCCGAAGAAGGTGAAAAAAAAGTTAATTAAGTGAGCCAATGAGGCAACCCGTTTAACCCACAAACCCGTGGTGGGTCGGGTCGGGTTCGAATTTTTTCGGCTCGCTAATAAATGAGCCGAGTTGAGTTGACTCACTAAGTGGTCAACCCGTGGTGGGTCGGGTCGGGTCGGGCCGGGTTACCCGTTTTGACAGCTCTACTTACTATGTAATATGCACATATTGTGATAAATTCGTATGTTGGACATACTGTGTTGGTTATGCATACTATTGTGATTATGATGTGATTATATCTATGTATGCACACTGTATGTTTCTGTGTAGTGAAAACCACACACACAAAAGTATATTTGCATGACATAATCATTTACAATGTTGTAGTATTCAATTAAGGTCATCAGACAACTTATGTTTTGAACTGTGGTAAAACAGCTAGTTTGAATCGATTACATTAGTTGTTAAAATCGATTAAAACTCGTGTGTTTGCATATATGTTTTTCAAGTGTGCTGTGATGAGTTTTTGACAAAAAAAGTTTTCAAAATATGTTTAAGTGTTAAGCTTAATCGATTACATGTGTTGTGTATTCAATTAAGTCTGTTAAGTTTTTAAAACTGATTTCATGCTAGTCATAATTGCTTTAACAGTCATATTTTTAAATATGTTTGACCAACATTAATTGCAAATCATTACATTAATTGAGCATTCAATTAAGAGCTGAGTTTGTTGTAATACTGTTACATCAGGTTTAATGTAACCGATTACATAAATAACGTAATCGATTGTTTTGCATCTGAATTGATAAAAACTGTAAATTGACGCATTTTTTTATAAATCTGTGACTTTTTTATCATTCTAACAATTTATGGATCATAAGGCATAGTAATTAACTTTGACCATCAGGAATTTTAATTTGAGGATTGTACATTAGAGGAAGTAATATTGTAATTTTGGATAGAATGACCATCACTTTATTTCTATCTCTAACTTATCTCGAAAAAAAAAATAATCTAAATTCCCACTTCATTAACCATTAGATTAAGTAGAAAATTTGATAGATGATTTATGAAATATATTAATATATTTTAACCACCCGGATTTGTAACTGGATGTCTGTACTCAGAGGAATTAATTACGCATTTTTGATAGAGTTGAAACCCACTTGAATACTATTTTCGAGTTGTCTAAGTAAAATCTCAATTTATACCTAGTTAACCGTTAAATTAACCTAAAATTTGGATATGTAGTTCCTAAGGCATGTTGATTAATCTTGACCATTCATAAATTTTTTAAAATAGGTCGGATTTATAAGGGATCTCAAAATAACATAATTTTATGTTTCTGAATTACTGATGCGAAATTTCAAATTTTCACTTTATTAACCGTTAGATCGGATTGAAATTTTTACCTTAAATTCTAGGTAAATTATGATGTGGAACATGTACTAGGAACAAACTATTATGTATCGTCACAACAATTTAAATGGTTGATCTATAACTTTCGATTGGTAAAATTATATTGAGATTGTACCAATTATGGGCAAAATAATATTATAAGAAGAGTATGATATCTAACAATAGGTATGTGATATTACAAAATTATGACTGAAGAATGATTATGATTGAGTTAGGTGGATGAGATGATATGATTTTTTTTTATTTTATGAAATGTTGGGGGTGGATATAAGGAATCATTAATTATGAAATGATGTTTACTACCGGGAATAGTATAATTGGTTTATACCATAAGACCTTGATATAAGCAGAGTGACTCATGAGACTTATGAAAGTAGGCAAAGAGTGGTCTGACCATAAGGCTTTGACATAAGCAAATTACTCATAAGTCTTATAGAAGCAGGCATAGAGCAATCTGACCATAAGGCTTCGGAAAGTAAAACATAGTATACTTGTAAGGCTTAAGGAAGCAGGCAGAGAGTGGTCTGACCATAAGGCTTCGTGAGTAAGCATAATATACTTTTAAGGTTTATGAAAATGAGAAGGATGATTTTGAAAGAAGTCAAGGAAAAATGAATTAAGTGCCTCGGGATAATTACATTTATAAATGTTAATAATACATGATTGAATTATATATTATGAGTAAGTTTAATGATTGTATGTTGTGGTCAGGTTACTCTTATTTTTTTGTGCTATGATCGTATAACTCATGTTATACGTGAGCAGATAATGTTGCAGATGCAGTTGAAAAAGCTTAGGCCTTGTTCACTTGAGTGGATTTGAGGGAGAGTAATTGAAGGGATTTGAGAGGATTTGAAAATAAATTTTTTTGTTGATTATTTGAGTGAATTTGGAGGTAAATGAGATTGGATTTGGAAGTAAATTTTTTTAATCTGTCACGTCAATCAAATCCTAGACTAATTCTCACAAATTTTACTTCCAAATTCATTCTCACTTACCTCCAAATTGACTCAAATAAACAACAAAAAAATTTATTTTCAAATCTTCTCAAATCCCCTCAATTACTCTCCCTCAAATCCACTCAAGTGAACAAGGCCTTAGGGATGATGAGAACATGTTGGAAAAAACTTTCAGGGGTTTTTGTAAAAAGAATAAATTTGTATTAGAAAAATATTTTGTGTAAGATTTGTAAGTTTAATTTCGAACTTATGTTAAGTGGTGAAGACTATATTGTTTAAAGTTTGTAAGTTTGGAATCATATTTTGGTTGAACCGAAATAAAGTTTGGTTGTTTAGATCAGATATCAAATTAATTTATTTTTTACTACTAGTAATACCCTTAAAATATTTGGGGTGTTACACAGAGAGCCAATTGCTTCAATTTTTTTCACTTTTAGGGACTCAATTGGGAAAAAAAAGAAAAGGACCTATTTGAGAAAACCCAACAGAAATGAGAACTGCGGAAGTGGTTTAACCAAGAACAAAATCTATAAAGGATTTGAATACTAAAAGAAATATCCTTATTTATTCATATCATTAAGGTAATCATAGCAAACAAGAAAAAAAAAACAGACAATAAAGACAAAAGGGTAAACTGATTTACCAATAGGACATTTATACAACTGAATTATAGATTTTAGCTTATAAACACAAGTGTATCAAATAATCCTAAAATATACAATTATTCACTCTAGACTTTACCATCCAGATACTTGTATTGATGTCAAACTCTAGTAGGTTATGCACTTATATGCTCTGCAGAGTCATTGCCAATGGATTTCATCCTACCACATACAAAGTTAGTCTATTAATGCCTTAGGCTAAAGTAAAGCCCCTGGATTAGAACCCTTATACTTCTCTCACCACATATACCACCCTTTTCTTCTTGAAATTGAATGGTTATTAGAGTGTTAGGATAACTCCCAATACGAAATCCTTACATCAATACAACACAACCTAACAACCATTACAAGGAAATTCTCCTTGAAATTTCTTTCACAACATAATTTATGCATACATATAACCATAATATAACCCATGAGGCATCACAAATTCACACTAAAAACACGTAGAATCCCGAAGAAACAACATCAATTAAGCAAGGATAAGAAAATCAGAGAAAAGTACACTAACGCTCATACTGACTCTCAGAACAAAAAGCTCTCGCAAAAGAGAGTGCTCTGTGCTAATTCTGGTGCTACACACCAAAGCTATCGCAAATTGGCTTGCTCAATGAGACCAATCTATCACTCAATGAAAAAGAGTGAAATTGATTTTAGATTTGCAGTGGTAACTAACGCTTAGCGGTACCTTGTCACCTCTCAATGCCATATCATTCACATATTCACCGATCAACAATGACAACTGGCGCCGAGTGTCATACCATAAACCTACAACTTTGGAACTATGATATGATGAACTAGACCCTACCCAGATGACCAAGTTGATATTCCTGACTCAATGCTTAGTCCAAAAATATGCTTCAGTGTCAAAATGAAAACCAATTTGCTCAATTAACTAGATACTCATTCCATCAACTCAACACCAATTTCATTCAAATCAAACAATTCAAACAACACACAATGTTATTACCATAAACAGGTTTCATTAGCAATTCAATAAACTAAAACAATAACTCCAATCAATCACACACAATCAATATACACACTTAATTCTCTTAACCTTTAAACTTGAAAACAAAGGTATTTAGCTTCCTTTACCTTTTAAAGGATCAAACTGCTCTATGAATGCTAAGATAGTTCCAACAACTTAAAGAATTGTATTTAGTCCTACATTTCAATAAAAAAACATGATCATGACCTAATGGTAGTATACTGATAAACAGAGAGTCGTATAAATAACTCAGATTGCACATGCAAAACGAGAACAACTCAAATGCATGGAGAAACACACAAACTAAAGTGTTGTAAAACTAGATTGAACATATTTGAATATCTCATGATCACTTAGACACTCTCTCATTTTCAAACAAAGAGAAAGGGTAGAAGACTCTTAAAAGATAAATTTTAGAAAAATAGTATGTTCTTAGATAATGAAACTCACTAAAATTCTATATATACTTTTAAACTTTTAGTATTAAAATAATCGAGTTTCATTTATTTAAAAGTGAAACAACTATGAAGATTGCAGCTTTGGCATTGAGTTTACATCTTCTCTATGTTTTTTTGCAGATTATGAGATCAGCACCAATCGGTACTGAAGCTGTAATTTCAACTTTTTTCACTGATGATTTTAGGAGTACATCTCTTAACAGAAGCAGTTTTCCCGAAAATTTTATATTTGGGACAGCATCATCTGCTTATCAGGTACTCCAAAACTGAGATAACTTTTTATATTTTGTTTATAATATTTAGTGAGAAATTGTAAATTCTGAATAAAACTTTGTAGCAAATTTATTTCTTGTAAATTTTTATAAAAATTATGCATGCAGGGAAAGTTTCACAAATGGACAAAATTTTGCAATAATCCTTTTATTTTCAAAGAATTATTTTTTTGCAATAATCTTGAAAGATGTTTAATTAGCATATAAACCAGTGTGAAGGTGCAGCTAATGTTGGTGGCAGAGGACCAAGCATATGGGAAACATACACTCATAATTACCCAGGTTTTTTTATTTCTTTGCCTACAGTACAATCCATGTTCACTAAATTATTTTATAGTGTTTTCAATTATAGCTTGTTATGTATGGTAAGTTATTGAGTTCATGATATTGTATTAAAATGTAGTATAGTTTTGATAGAGTTTTCTTAGTTTATTTTTCTAAAACTATTATTATGTTCTTGATATGCTAGAGACATGTCTATTGTTACAAATTGTAGCATATTTTGTATGAAACATGACAGATAAAATACTGGACAGAAGTAATGGAGATGTTAGCATTGATCAATACCATCATTATAAGGTAATGATAATAAGGAACCTTTGATACATTAATGTCTAGTGAAGCAATAAAAATAAAGCATAATTGAAATTGTTTTCATATCTAATAATACAGGAAGATATTGAAATAATTAAGGAGTTGAACATGGATGCCTATAGATTCTCAATCCCTTGGTCCAGAATACTTCCGAGTAAGAAACTGGGAACTATATAAAAACTTCACTTTCTTATAATTTTGTACATTAGCACTTCTTAATAGGTAGTTGATAATTTTTTTAAAATTCATTTTCTATAATTTAGTTTTGAAATTGAAACAAGTAACTCAACTTGTTGACCTCCATAATGCAGGTCTTGAAGCCTTTGTGACCATATTTCATTGGGACCTTCCTCAAGCCTTAGAAGATGAATATGATGGTTTTTAAGTCCTAATATAGTGTAACTCAAATTACTTACATCAAATAATCAAAATATACTTGTGTGAACATATTTTAACTGATATCTATATACTTTGTTTATCATTATCTAGGAATGATTTACAAGATTATGCAGAAGTTTGTTTGGGGACAGAGTAAAACATTGGATTATATTAAATGAACCATGGACCTTTAGTAAATATGGGTATGTGTTTCAGCCATTGAACCCTATATAGCGACTATCAATCAATTACTTGCTCATGCAGCTGCTGTCAATGTCTATAAGACAAAGTATCAGGTTTAATTACATATTTTTGTATTTTGAAATGCAACTAGAAATTAAAATTTTTAAGCTTTAGCATTATTGCATTTAATTGAGTGCTTAAAATAAAACTGACAGGCAGACTATAAGTTTATTCTCAATCTAATCATCAATAAAGAGAATGAGCTTAATAGTTAGTGTTAAAAAAATTTCATGGAGGTGTATTTGTTACATGACAGGACTACCGAAAGAGGAAAAGTAGTTGATACACCACTATTAAAGAATCCAAGCAAATGCACTACAGTTAAACAAAAGAAACAACATCACTACCATATAAATAGGTTTGGAATGTGAGCAATCTTTTCCCTGTCTTCGCCTCCTTTATGGCAACGCTGTTCCAGCAAAGGACACTCGCGTATTTCAAGAAATGAAATTGATTTGGGAAGACCCTACTCTGGTAAGCTTTGGAGGTTGGGACAGTTCCAAAGACGCAGTGTTCCAAGAGATGAGAGTTCTAAGAGACTCTTGTAGTTCAGTTTTTTCAGATTTTGGCAATCAGATATTACTAGAGAGGAAAGAAAGAGTGGAAGCAAACCTTCATCAGGAAAACATTCCACCTCTACTTTTTCAATCCTTAAGCTTTCCAAGGAAGGACTGTATCTGAAAGCTCTTTTCATTGAGCCAACAAATCTAAAGCAATTATTGATTGTAATGTGTTTTAGATTTAATGACAAACCTCCGTACGACTCAAGTCTTGGACAGTCTTTGATTGTCAGATGCTGGAGATGATTGTGAACTTGATCCTGTGAAATCAGGTGTAGATTAGGAAATCCACTGAGTTCAAGGGTCCTGAGTGTTGGGAAAAAATCCAGTGGAAAGATCCTTAGAGAGACACAATCATCACTTATTGACTCCAGAAGTGAACAAATGGAAAGGTTTTCAAGAGAACTGTCGAGTAGCATACGTCCAACCATTGCCACCAATGATGCTGCCTTGTCGTGCCCATCCATTGTGAGCTTTTTCATTGTAGATCGCTCCAACTGCAGCTTTCCACAATATTGTAGAAGTAATTCTAGCGCACTGACCATCAAAGCTTCAAGTTGTTCGCAGAGAAAGACATATAGGGATTTTAAAGCAACAAACTTTGGCAGGTGTCCTTTCAGCTTGGGACAATTTCCTATGGAAAAAAATTCTAGACGTGGAAAAGCACCTGTCACAGCTTGGCAGTCCCACTTTTCCCATTGCCTCATATTAGAGAAATACAATTTTTGAAGGGATTTAAATGAACAAGAGTTGTTCCCATTAAAATCAGCATCAATACTCACTATCTCATCCAACCCTGAAATCTCCAGGTACTTGAGAAATGGCAAAAGTCCAAGCGGAGGTAAACGTTGGCAAGATTCACATTCCTCCAACACTAAGGACACCAGATTCGGTAATGAATTATGGAGTAACCAATTTGGAAATTGCTTACCAATATAGTTACTTACTGACAACTTCTTCAAGTATTTTGAAGGTCGTAGATTCTCAATTACATCCTCAGCTTTTTCTGAATCAACAGAAGAGCTGCCAATGAAATTCCATTTTAACCGTAGCTCCACAAGATGTGTTTTGTTCTTCAAATCTACTTCTAATGCATAAGAGGGATTCTCAATATTTTGCAGATCATCAATTGTTAGACTTCCAAGAAGATTGAGTTTTCCTAATTGCTGAATATTGATTTTCTTACTTTTATCAACATGAAATGAACTCATTGATACTTGAGGATTCTTCAGCTTTCCCAAATGTTCTACCACATTTTTCACTCCAATACCTACTAATTCAAGACAACGCAAACTGTCGAGTTGATGTAAACATGAGGGAAGCTCCTTTAATTTTCGACAATTGTTTAGCTTCAGTATTTGCAATTTGAAAAGTAAACTTATTGATTCAGGTAGTTTTTCTATTTGAGTATAGGATAGATCTAATGAAAGAAGATGCTTAAGATTTCCTACAGATTTAGGCACCTCCACAAGGCTACGACAATGACACAGAGACAAAACACGTATCAACTTAAATCTGGAGAACAAGTCATTTATCGACATCTTGCAAACCCAAACCCAACCCCGATCTGTTGGCGTAAATGTATGCAACTTTTGAGTATCAATCGAACTCCCAAACCCATCAAAGCATAATTTAGAGGATGAAAATGAACAATGACGGGTTGTTTTGGGTATACCTTTTGGTTCATCAACTCCTAACCTGATGCATATGTCCTCACAGACGTATTTTGCCAAATCATTTAGAAGGTCATGCATGATAAAACGCTTTTCCTCTTCGTTGCTTGCTTGTTGAAAGAAGGACCAAGATAATAGATCATTGAAATATTCTTCACCGACTTCTTTAGGACTCTTTTTCTGTAGAGGGTTTGCTAGAAAATTTTGAGCCATCCACAATTGAATTAAACACTCCTTGTCAAACCGATAACCTCTGGGAAATAAGGCACAAAAAGCAAAGCATTTCTTCAGATGAGAAGGAAGATGGAAATAGCTCAGTCTTAAAGCAGGGAGTATATCACTCTCATTTTCTGAAAAATGCCATATCTCACTTTTCATAACACTTTCCCATTCCCAAAGGGATGATTTATTGTGTAATAGACTTCCCAGAGTTTTTAAGGCTAAAGGAAGCCCATTACATTTTTGCACTATCTTCTTACCAATCTCTATGAAGTCTGGGTCTGGTTGTGGATCAGCATTTTCAAATGCATGCTTTGCGAACAAGTCCCAACAATGATCTTCTTTTAATGCTTGCAAGAGGTGCTTTTCTGATCGCATGGTAACAGCAACCTTCTCACTCCGTGTAGTGACAAGAATTCTACTGCCTTGGCCTCCGAAAACTAGGGGCTTCTGCACATCTTCCCATTTAGATGGTCTTTCGTTCCAAACATCATCCAAAACGAGAAGAAATTTCTTCCCCATAAGTTCTTCTTTCAATCTTCTCTGAATTACTTCCTGCTGTATACTATGATCAGTTGAAGCAGTTATTGTGTCAAGAATTGCTCTTGATACTTTGAGAACATCAAATTCATGTGGAACACTGACCCAAACATTAGTATCAAATTTACCTTCAAGTCTTGGGTCATTGAATACATGTTGGGCAAGAGAGGTTTTACCCATCCCACCCATGCCCACAATAGAAAGTATAGATAGGTTGTTGGGAGTGTCCGATGTGAGCCAGTTAAAGACAAATTCTTTGTCGTCGTCTCTGCCATAAATAACACTTTCATTTGGCAAAGACGTATATGTTAATTTACTACCCGATCCTGATCCAATCCCAACACCACCACCCTTTTCCAAACCTAGAATATAGCTTTCGTTTGCAAGATCTTCTAGGTCCTCGATGACTTGTTCCATCCTGGATTCAATTTCTATTTCAAAGAAACTGACAAAAGAAGAATTGAGGGAATTCCACACCTTGTTAGTAGCACTCTGAGACTCAGCTTCCGCCTGACTTTTGGAGAGTTCATAATCTATCTCATCCAAGAGATCCTCTACATCAAACACAACATCTTTGGCCCTGAGAAGCCAATCTCTGACGCGTGGATCTTTGAACTGCTTTTGTTCTGCATCAAGAGCCACAACATCAATGGCAAGGAACTTCATCTTCAAGTTGTTGAGTTGCTTCTTATGCTTTCTTTGACGTAATATGTGGACAAGACGAGAAGCCAAAGTGTCGATAGTCTTCTCGAGGAAAGTAGAAACAAGAACACCTGTAACCATTGTTGGTATTGTAAAAATATATCTCTTATTTAGAACTTGCAAATACAGGAGTACATAAACACAACACTCTTAGACTTTCAAAGATACACTCTTAATACTCCCAATACACAACACAAACCCTCCCTAATTTTCTCTCTTCACGGTGGTGCACACTACACCAATTTTTCCCGTGGCTCTCTCCCTCTTTTTTCCACACACTCACACAGCTTTCTTTCTCTTCTCTGCTGCTGCACTCTGCTCTTTTTCTTCTCGGTGGTGGTGTGTTACAACCACTTCTTCACTTCACTTTTATAAGTGAGTTGCACACATAAAACAAAAACTTCACCACCCATCTTACACGTTACTTGTCAGACCTCAATAAACGCACCCAATACCCCTGCCAGAATCATTAAAACGCATCCAAAACCCTTCTGAACGGACGCCAGGTGTCAAGCAACAAGGATCAGAAAATCAGATAGTCGGATGCAGGTGTCAGCAGGAGAGCGGACGCTCGTTTTGACGTAGGAAGAAAATGATTTTTCTGGGACGGCGTCCCACTCTCTTCTGCATGCACCATTTTTCTCAAAACTCTGAACTTCTCATCTTCTCCTCCTTCTCACTAGAAAACTCTCCCTTCTCTCTACCGAAACTCACCAATCCTTTACTCCGATCTTCGTTCAGGCACCGTAGGAATACTTCCGGCGTCCCAAGCTTAAATTTGAACCGAACATTTTCGAGTTCTGAAACTGGTAAGTTTTCTCGACCTTAGCCGTTCGTTCTCTGGAACATGCAACTCGAGTTATGGTTGTATGNAGAAGTGAACAAATGGAAAGGTTTTCAAGAGAACTGTCGAGTAGCATACGTCCAACCATTGCCACCAATGATGCTGCCTTGTCGTGCCCATCCATTGTGAGCTTTTTCATTGTAGATCGCTCCAACTGCAGCTTTCCACAATATTGTAGAAGTAATTCTAGCGCACTGACCATCAAAGCTTCAAGTTGTTCGCAGAGAAAGACATATAGGGATTTTAAAGCAACAAACTTTGGCAGGTGTCCTTTCAGCTTGGGACAATTTCCTATGGAAAAAAATTCTAGACGTGGAAAAGCACCTGTCACAGCTTGGCAGTCCCACTTTTCCCATTGCCTCATATTAGAGAAATACAATTTTTGAAGGGATTTAAATGAACAAGAGTTGTTCCCATTAAAATCAGCATCAATACTCACTATCTCATCCAACCCTGAAATCTCCAGGTACTTGAGAAATGGCAAAAGTCCAAGCGGAGGTAAACGTTGGCAAGATTCACATTCCTCCAACACTAAGGACACCAGATTCGGTAATGAATTATGGAGTAACCAATTTGGAAATTGCTTACCAATATAGTTACTTACTGACAACTTCTTCAAGTATTTTGAAGGTCGTAGATTCTCAATTACATCCTCAGCTTTTTCTGAATCAACAGAAGAGCTGCCAATGAAATTCCATTTTAACCGTAGCTCCACAAGATGTGTTTTGTTCTTCAAATCTACTTCTAATGCATAAGAGGGATTCTCAATATTTTGCAGATCATCAATTGTTAGACTTCCAAGAAGATTGAGTTTTCCTAATTGCTGAATATTGATTTTCTTACTTTTATCAACATGAAATGAACTCATTGATACTTGAGGATTCTTCAGCTTTCCCAAATGTTCTACCACATTTTTCACTCCAATACCTACTAATTCAAGACAACGCAAACTGTCGAGTTGATGTAAACATGAGGGAAGCTCCTTTAATTTTCGACAATTGTTTAGCTTCAGTATTTGCAATTTGAAAAGTAAACTTATTGATTCAGGTAGTTTTTCTATTTGAGTATAGGATAGATCTAATGAAAGAAGATGCTTAAGATTTCCTACAGATTTAGGCACCTCCACAAGGCTACGACAATGACACAGAGACAAAACACGTATCAACTTAAATCTGGAGAACAAGTCATTTATCGACATCTTGCAAACCCAAACCCAACCCCGATCTGTTGGCGTAAATGTATGCAACTTTTGAGTATCAATCGAACTCCCAAACCCATCAAAGCATAATTTAGAGGATGAAAATGAACAATGACGGGTTGTTTTGGGTATACCTTTTGGTTCATCAACTCCTAACCTGATGCATATGTCCTCACAGACGTATTTTGCCAAATCATTTAGAAGGTCATGCATGATAAAACGCTTTTCCTCTTCGTTGCTTGCTTGTTGAAAGAAGGACCAAGATAATAGATCATTGAAATATTCTTCACCGACTTCTTTAGGACTCTTTTTCTGTAGAGGGTTTGCTAGAAAATTTTGAGCCATCCACAATTGAATTAAACACTCCTTGTCAAACCGATAACCTCTGGGAAATAAGGCACAAAAAGCAAAGCATTTCTTCAGATGAGAAGGAAGATGGAAATAGCTCAGTCTTAAAGCAGGGAGTATATCACTCTCATTTTCTGAAAAATGCCATATCTCACTTTTCATAACACTTTCCCATTCCCAAAGGGATGATTTATTGTGTAATAGACTTCCCAGAGTTTTTAAGGCTAAAGGAAGCCCATTACATTTTTGCACTATCTTCTTACCAATCTCTATGAAGTCTGGGTCTGGTTGTGGATCAGCATTTTCAAATGCATGCTTTGCGAACAAGTCCCAACAATGATCTTCTTTTAATGCTTGCAAGAGGTGCTTTTCTGATCGCATGGTAACAGCAACCTTCTCACTCCGTGTAGTGACAAGAATTCTACTGCCTTGGCCTCCGAAAACTAGGGGCTTCTGCACATCTTCCCATTTAGATGGTCTTTCGTTCCAAACATCATCCAAAACGAGAAGAAATTTCTTCCCCATAAGTTCTTCTTTCAATCTTCTCTGAATTACTTCCTGCTGTATACTATGATCAGTTGAAGCAGTTATTGTGTCAAGAATTGCTCTTGATACTTTGAGAACATCAAATTCATGTGGAACACTGACCCAAACATTAGTATCAAATTTACCTTCAAGTCTTGGGTCATTGAATACATGTTGGGCAAGAGAGGTTTTACCCATCCCACCCATGCCCACAATAGAAAGTATAGATAGGTTGTTGGGAGTGTCCGATGTGAGCCAGTTAAAGACAAATTCTTTGTCGTCGTCTCTGCCATAAATAACACTTTCATTTGGCAAAGACGTATATGTTAATTTACTACCCGATCCTGATCCAATCCCAACACCACCACCCTTTTCCAAACCTAGAATATAGCTTTCGTTTGCAAGATCTTCTAGGTCCTCGATGACTTGTTCCATCCTGGATTCAATTTCTATTTCAAAGAAACTGACAAAAGAAGAATTGAGGGAATTCCACACCTTGTTAGTAGCACTCTGAGACTCAGCTTCCGCCTGACTTTTGGAGAGTTCATAATCTATCTCATCCAAGAGATCCTCTACATCAAACACAACATCTTTGGCCCTGAGAAGCCAATCTCTGACGCGTGGATCTTTGAACTGCTTTTGTTCTGCATCAAGAGCCACAACATCAATGGCAAGGAACTTCATCTTCAAGTTGTTGAGTTGCTTCTTATGCTTTCTTTGACGTAATATGTGGACAAGACGAGAAGCCAAAGTGTCGATAGTCTTCTCGAGGAAAGTAGAAACAAGAACACCTGTAACCATTGTTGGTATTGTAAAAATATATCTCTTATTTAGAACTTGCAAATACAGGAGTACATAAACACAACACTCTTAGACTTTCAAAGATACACTCTTAATACTCCCAATACACAACAAAAACCCTCCCTAATTTTCTCTCTTCACGGTGGTGCACACTACACCAATTTTTCCCGTGGCTCTCTCCCTCTTTTTTCCACACACTCACACAGCTTTCTTTCTCTTCTCTGCTGCTGCACTCTGCTCTTTTTCTTCTCGGTGGTGGTGTGTTACAACCACTTCTTCACTTCACTTTTATAAGTGAGTTGCACACATAAAACAAAAACTTCACCACCCATCTTACACGTTACTTGTCAGACCTCAATAAACGCACCCAATACCCCTGCCAGAATCATTAAAACGCATCCAAAACCCTTCTGAACGGACGCCAGGTGTCAAGCAACAAATCATTAAAACGCATCCAAAACCCTTCTGAACGGACGCCAGGTGTCAAGCAACAAGGATCAGAAAATCAGATAGTCGGATGCAGGTGTCAGCAGGAGAGCGGACGCTCGTTTTGACGTAGGAAGAAAATGATTTTTCTGGGACGGCGTCCCACTCTCTTCTGCATGCACCATTTTTCTCAAAACTCTGAACTTCTCATCTTCTCCTCCTTCTCACTAGAAAACTCTCCCTTCTCTCTACCGAAACTCACCAATCCTTTACTCCGATCTTCGTTCAGGCACCGTAGGAATACTTCCGGCGTCCCAAGCTTAAATTTGAACCGAACATTTTCGAGTTCTGAAACTGGTAAGTTTTCTCGACCTTAGCCGTTCGTTCTCTGGAACATGCAACTCGAGTTATGGTTGTATGCTGTCACCTTGCATGACCCAATCCTGTTTTCTGTTGTTTTGTTTTAGTTGGAAGAGTTGGTTGAGCGTTGAGGGTAGAAGAAATTTTAGTCAGACAAATCATACTTCTGTCTCTAAGACGATCGTTCACGCTAGAGGTAAGGGAAGCTTATCTAATTTAATTGTATGTTGTTATACGTTCGTTGATAATGAATGCATGTTGCTGAGTGGTTGAATGTATATGAAGTAGGATACTGATATGATTGTTTATGTGAAAAATGATTTATTAGTATGATATGGATCGTATGAAATATGCAAATTTATTTGATATGTATTTTATATAGTTATGATATTATGTATTGAGAAATGAGTTGAAGATAAATGAGTTTCTGGATATGAATTTCCCTATGATAGTTTACGTTCATCATTGAACAGTCCTTGACCGTTTGGTGTTCCTATTAAAATTGTTTGGAATTGAATTCTTTCATTTGGAAAGAATTCTAGTTGAGGACGAGCGTCTTCTTGTGATAGTACTG